TTCAACCCTAAACAACATTAAGGGTAGTCAATCTGAAAAATTCATTCATGTACAGTTCCCCGGCCCATTAATTGGCTAACGGATGAATAAAACAGTTTTAAAGGAAAAATCAAATGACTGATCACGCTTAGTCACTCATAAAGAAGTAATCACGTTTCACGTGAAGAGAAGTATCCCTACTCGCGTATAGCGTATAAAGAAGTGGTCCTAATCACGTATCACGTATAAAAACGTAATCACTTTTCACAAAAAAGGGAGTAGCATTAATCACGTTTTCATTAAAACAAGTAGCGATAATCACGTTTTACGAACGTTAAAGCTTGTAGCAAGACGTTTTTTAGTCTTAATTAAAGCAGTGTTTTGGCAGGCGCAAAGCTAGAAGGATAACACTGAATTAAGAGCTCAAGAAAATTAAGGCATGAGTCTTCTATTTAATTCCACAAAAACAGAGGGGGTGGTCTAACTTTTTAGGCTTTCAATACAGCCGGAGAACCTATTGACAGACTACCTGGGTGTAACGTCAAAAACTTGGAATCATGGTTGGAGTCATTAATTGTCACGTGACCTATAAAGGCTATTTTTAGCTCAAAATTCTATTTGGCAAAATGGCACCCCTTTTCATTGCTTTCTGGAAGTTGCAGTTATCGTCATAGTGATGAGGCTAATAGGTATATCATTTCTGTGGCTGGGCCTTTTTAAGTTAATCTTTCAAAAAGGGAAGAAATTTGAAAACCGTTTAATGAGGGAACTGGGCACTAGAACAAAATTCCGTTTATTTACACTTTCAATAAGTTATTCAACAAAGCCCGAGCACAGATGTTTAGTCGTTCATCCAGTGACAAGTTTGGTATTAACTTCTTTGATTGTTTAAGTTTTTTTCGAGAAAAATGGCCGTTTCAAGGTCACGTGACCTAATTTGCATACTTTTACACGGAATTGTATAACTTTTCAGACTGATTATTCATTATTCTGGTCAAGTTTTGTTGCTAAAGGAGTCAGTAATCGTCAAGATATAGACCACCCCTCAACTTTTGAAGGAAATTGAAAAAAGACCCATGCCTCATAATTAATTTTGTTGAGAGGGTGTGACAATCCATTAGACCGGGAGAAATATCGCCAGAGCTACAAAGCAGCAGACAATTGGTACAAGGGACCAAGGTGCACTAAGGCAAGGTTCTTAAAATAAAGAATAGCATTTAATAATGACATTATTAAATTACTAGTAATGCTTTAAATGATAAAAATTTCATTGTCTCATTCGTTGCATCTCCAATGACATAGTCCATTGCATATCCGCACAAACTGCTCACGGATCTCCTAATAGAAGGTTGGTTTGTTTTACCATGGTCGCTAATAGCAATACACCATCAAAAACTCAAAAACTGTGGACGGGTTTTCCTTCACTCGCACTAGGTCACAAAAAAATCTAGGGGCAAAGGGCTTCATTTACTGTGATATAGATTTAAATATGAAAAATGAGCCACTTTAATTTGTATTCAGTTTTAAAACAGGCCAGTAATCACTGTTTTGCCAATAAGACAACTTTTCATGATACTGCTTGGGGGGTTAATTATAACAGCCTACAGCTTCCTGGTACATTTCTAACTAAATACGAAGTTACGATTATTGCGAATAATACAGCTAAATTTCCATTGGTAGACGTTCTTATGAGTTATATTAAAGCACATTATTTATTTAGAAATGCAAAAACTATTGTATTTAAGTATAGAGCGGTTTTCACTTGACTGTCGAAAGGAATTGGTTTTGGTTTTGGTTTTGGTTTTACTACGCCCTTTGGTTGGCTAGTGTATTTACTTTGGTTTTGGTTTTACGACAGTCAAGTGAAAATTGCTCTAATCAGAGGGAGTTTTATTGGTTTAGTTGTTCTATCAGCTGTCCCCTATTAGTAGAGGGCCTGCCCCTCGGCTAGTTTTCTTTCTTGACACATAAATAAAGTTTCTATCTATCTATCAGAGGAAAATCTCCATTGTAAGAAGTGTTACTTAGTTTGCTTATCCTTAGGTTTAAATACGGCGATCTACCGGTTTAGATAAGAGCTTTAGTATTCTTAATTTCGATAGAGAAGTTCCGACTGAATGCTTTTTTTCTTTTGCCTCCCGGTTTTTTTTATTTCTTCTGTATTCATGATATTATATTTTTGAGGCTTTACCCATTATATGAGAATGAAAGATTAGGTCGTTGGATGAATTTGCCTCAATGATTGGTTTCTGCATAAAATACGTTAAATAGTATTCTGGTTTTTGAATTGACACTGTTTTTGAAGTGTGAGCGTTTCTTAGCAAAATCCTTTTAAATTTATAGACGATATCAATTTTGCTAGTTTTAAAATAAACATAAGGGAATTCAAATTCAATTAGCCTTCTGAAAGCTAAATACGTAATTGGATTCTGTTATTGAATTAGATTTTTCTTGAAGTCTGAGCGTTTCTTAGCAATATTTTTGGCAATGAAATAGTCATCTTTTCATATAAATATAGATGAAAAAACAACTACTTAAACAAGTTATAGGCTTCTTGCTGTAGCTCATCTGGTACGTGAAAAGGTTGGTAACTAATTTTTAAGATCTGTTGAGGCAAATTCGGGGCCGTATCTGCGAGCTAATTTTCCTTTATTTTCTTGTTCGATATTTACCATAACCGCTTTTGAAAAAGTCTAATTATTTAACATTTTATTTTTTAACGTTTTATTTTGTTTATTTTTTGTACGTGGACGATGATAGTTTCAGTTCCCAGTAAATTCTACAAATAATATATGGCCTTCTTTGTTGCAATTTGTAAATAACCGAATCATTGTATTTTTGAATGTTTTGTTTGTTCTCCTTCCTCGGAAACATTCTTGACTTCTGGTTTTCAAGTGACGTTAATCAAAGTTTTCAACTAAAATCCTCAAATTAAACTTATAAAGTTTCATGTAAGAGAAATTGATAACTTCATATCTTTTTAGAAGATTTCCGCTGGATGGGGCAGCCGTTTAACGTATTTTGTGATAGAATACTTTTGAATGTTCAATACACTAAAAATGGCGGCCGAGAAGTTGAATAACCCTTGTATTAGAACAAGTCGTTTACTATCTTGAATGACTACTTCTTGCTTTCACAGCAAAACCCCAACTGAGACATGTTGGTGCCCCTTGGATGGACACCAATATGCAATCTGGCCGATAAAAACTTTATCCGAACATCTATTTCCCGCTTATAAAAGGCCACACAGAATTGAATTTCGGCCAGGCTGTTTTCAATTTTATCTTCTTTTTATTCGTAAGATTCGCGTCTTTATGCGCTTAATGGTTTTACGTGGCACCTCTATTCATGGAATACCCTCTGGACCAAGGAAAGTGTCCCCTGGATGGAGGTTGGGCTGGGGTTTGTTAATATTGATCTACAAATAAAAGATAATCTGCTGCAGTCAATATATCAAGCAGCTAGATAATGCATACAAAATCATGATTAATTTATCTCTGCAAAATTCTGAGTTGAAATCTCACAAGTGCATGCAGTACATCGATTCAAGTGAGATAGTTCATGTTGTGAAAGTTGTCGTCATTGTGCCGACTTGAGAACACTTCAACTTATCAACGCCTTCTGTGGTCAGTCGCTTTTTGAGTGCTAAGGTATCCCCTGAATGGAGGTTAAACATGGGCTTCAAGACGTAGAAAGAATGTACCTTTTCCCCTTCAATAGAGGTAACAGATACAAAGATATTGAGAAAATGCTTTCGACCTTAAAATTTTGTGTCCCCTGAATGGAGCTTTCCCCTTAATAGAGGTGTCCAAAAGGAGAAGTTGCACGGTAATTCTTATTTCTAAAGGCGTGGCACTTTAAAACCAGAAACTGAAGAAAAGGTTTGCTGCTGCGTGCTCGCTTTTGACGGACCAAAATCAAGATTTTAGTATAACAATCAGGGCGGATGGTCCTGTCAAAAGAGCCACTTCATAACCGATACTTTGCTGGTAGAAATAGTTAATATGGTGCTTTGTAATATTCGACGGGTAAAAGTTTAAATAATTGTAAAATTTCTAAATGGAGCAGACTGATACTTATTGGAGAAAAATGTGACAAAAAGATCTAAAAAATCGACAGTATGGTAAAGGCACGCGAGCCAAAATACGTATCTAATCTTTATTTTGCGTTCGACGATAGGAGAGCGCAGTTCATGATGTTGGGTGTCTTGTGCTACTAAGCGATGATCTTTCACGCTATCTTGGATTTTGAAACCTTAGTCACACGACACTGAAATGGCAGGCTAGATCGGTGTAACGTAGTTGAAAAAGGGGCTTTAGCTTTAGTGTTTAGTCGTGTTAGAATAAGTGTTAATTTCAATGGTTTTATGAGCTCTTAAGTGTTTACTACTGGTTTTCATACCAAATGTACATGTACGCATGAAGTTTTATGAAATATTGGTTTTGTGGTTTGTTACCGAACGCACGTAGCTTATATTTGTCGTAGTTTTTTTGGCTGTTTTCTCGCGAGTAACCCTGCTCGGGACCATTTGAGTCCGTTAGTTGCTCCCTCACTTAATTTCCGTTCTCTTTTATTTCTTGTTATGTTAACTCAAGGTCAACTTTCCAGAATTTGGAAAGCACAATGTGATTGGCTAAGCTTGGGAAAGGAATGGTGTCTTCGGTTGAGCAGGCGTTTGTGGGGAGGGATGAAAGACGAGCTCTCCTAAAAACGCCTGTGTGGGCGGCTATCTGACCGTGCACTATCCTTTGTTTTTTGTCCACAAATTGTGACTGAATACATTAATGCGATGTTTGTATTGGTCAGTAAGTTCTAAATGATAGGAAATGCTATTGAACGTTGTGCAAGTTCAGGTTCCAGAAACTGAGCTGACAAAAACATATAACAAAGAAGGCTTTCTAGCTTCATAGCCATTCCACTTTATTAACTATGGTCTGACCTCGGACGCACTCAAGAAACTGCGATTACTATTAGTAAATCTAAATACTTTCACTTGCCGTTTCGTTGCAGATTAATCAGACATGGAAAAACGTTCGCTGGGACTGGTACTTGCTTTGGTGACAATCTTTATTTCTTTGCCTTTGCTCTTGGCTAAGCCTAACAACAAAAATAACGGCGACTGTCCAAAACCGAGAGGGAAAGATTGTACCACAGAAGAGGACAGAGAAATCATGAGGTGTTGTCTTGAGAAGTATAAGAAAGGCTTTGATGATGTAAGAGGTCAAGGTTCCCCCTTGCCAGGACAGGATCCGCCTACCTGCCAAACTGATCTGGTAAGTTCTCCTTTGTTCAGCAGCGGATCTGATTCTTTCCCACCATGGAGTGTTGTGCCACACGTACCATGCACTTAGGTCAATAATCAGAAGTAAACACAAATATCAACTTCACGTTTTGTACGCTAGTAAATATACTCAAAACCATATCTTTATAATATTATACAATTCAAACAACTTGAGCCAGCTTTTGATGTTAACACACTGAGAAGCTTATGCATTTTGATAAATATGCTGTTGCTTTTTATTGATTCACCCGGCTAAGATTCGGTTTCTGAGGCCCCGTACACCGGACGTATCCGGATATTTTTAAATCAGCAATTTTTGTTCGCTCAAAAAACGGGGGGCAACGGTGTGTCATAAACCACTCTGATTTCAAGAAACGTTGCACTATTTATCTTTTGTTAGGATTTGGCAGAATGCCTTTCCAAAAGCAAATGCTACGCAGGGGTTAACAACGCCCTTCGCCTGCTCATTCTCAATCAACTCGTCTTCACCAAAAGAGTAAGAATCTGCCAACAAAAAAATTTCAGTCGCCTCTTGGAAGAAGCCGAGAAAGGTAAGATTCAAATTCTTTCGCCCAGTTCTTTTTGATTTCTCTATCTGTGTTTGTATTGAATTAGAACGGAAGAAATGCACAGGTTAAAACGCTTAAATGAGAAGCACGACCTGTATAATAGCCATCATAAAGTGTCCTCACAGCTAAAGCTCACCAAATGATACACATACATACATTCGTAAGCTGTTTACAGGCAGTCATAAATGACAACTGAAGGAGGATCGTGAGGTTATCCCTGTAGTAAGATCTCTCCTTACAGATACACTATGTCACTTACCATCCCAGGAAAGGTTGGCCACACCACCGGGGTCTACATCCCCTACTCTTTTTGAACATTGGTGTGGGTTCTTCAACGTCCCACATGAACAGATCAATGAAAGTGCTGTAAGACGGGACCTACCGTTTTTCGTCCTTATCGGAGAAGACTAGAAAGTCTAACCGTTTGCAGATGTCATTACAAAGCCAGCACTTTCTTCTCAGTAATTAAAAGACCCTGAGTGTTGGTCCGGCCAGTGTTTGAGACCGCGACCTCCCGCTTGGCATACCGGCGCACTCCCAACAGAGCTAACCAGGCGGCGGTGAAATGATACATATAATCATTTTAACAACGAAACACAACTCGTTTAAATATTAGGCAAATATAAAAGACAATACCCGCATTCAGTCCTGGTCATAAATATCTTGTATACCGCCATGCTCACAACCAGCATAGCAGATTTTGCGAACAAAACGTTCCAGTGTGGTCGTTGCAAGCTCTTCTTTCCTTTACCTCGCCGCACAGCTTCTTCGGCACCTATTTCAGTTATTGCCAAACCCCTGTTATCCACCTAGATCTGCATTCTTCATCGGATATTCTAGCCTCCCATGCATATGTTCTTCGGGGTGTGGGTGGGGGACCTCAGTCATTTATTGTTTATAGTTAAAGAGGCTGGACTCAAAGGACACATATATCCATAAGTACGATTTATAACGGGACCTATGAACTTCCACATTGCGATAAGAATGGCCACCACTTGCACTCGTTTTTCTCGACGTAGGAATTGACCAATAGCACGTATCACAAGGGAGTTATTTAGTTCTTACTGCAGCGATTTTATGTCAGCGAGCCCCCACAAAAAGGCTGATCGAGTAATAACGAGGAATAGAAAAGGATATATAGCAGATTGATCGAATTTCAAGGAAGTAAAATAACAGGTGCAGGGGAACTAATTTTCCCTTCCCATTCCTGTTAACTACGTGCGTCCCCTTCCGCGCTCGTTATGGTCACGTTATTCTCAGTGATATTTTCCCGATGTTCCTTACCAACGAGCTGGTACAAACTGGGTAAGAAATGATATGCCTTTTATTGTCATGTCATCACTTAATAACAAACTAATATGATTCCGAGCATTATGAGTCCCACATTCATACGAAAAGAAAAAACAACAACAAACAACAACAACAACAACAACACTGGCAGCTGTCTTTCAAGTTTTCCTACACAATGCAATCCCTTTTATTCAAATAAGTAATGGCTAACTGCTTTCATCACTTTTTTCTCTGTCAGAACATTTAACGGGACTGAGCAATATCAAGGAAATGGGTACGTACACTATAAAAAGAACACGTGTAGAACAATTGTAAACAGAGAAAAAAGTTACAACAACAGCTGCTATGGTCAGGTATCGTGTCCTCCGCAGTCTCTAGAATCTGTATATGTTCACTGCTAATTCTATGCAAGTCGTAGTTGTCAGTTAAGTATTGCGTCTCCCCGGTGCAGCCTCCATGCATTCTATCGTTGCACTCCGAAGTCTCTAGAATTTGTATATTTTCACTGCTAATTTTATGCACGTCGTCGTTGTCAGTTGAGTATTGCGTCTCGCCGGTGCAGCATCCAAGCTTTCTGTCTTTGCCGTTTGTCTTTCTTCGCATTGCTACACAATCGGTAAGATTTGTACTTCCTACGGGCGATCCCGCAACTATTTGAAGGATTGTTTTTGATTAGCTGGGAAGACAATAGGGATTGTCACATAACAATGCCCCTATCCCTGAAAACAATACGAAGTGCAGATTAAAGGGGACCAGTGAAAAAAGAGGTTTAGAACGGTGCAGGTCTACTGCTTGCTAGTGCCTCTTTCTTTCATAAGTTCGTTTTACTTATTTTTATTTTTCTATTAATTTCTGTTTAGCAAACCTCTATTTGTCACCAGGAGAAGCGTTTGCGAAGCGGCAATCTTTGATCCTTGTACAGCGATATGAGTATCAATAAAAATCAGTTATACGGTTTGCCGTGACAACAACTGTAATTTTGATTAACTGACGTAGGCGAGTTTTTCTAAAATTCAACATGTCTAGTTGATGTTGTTATTTTTAGCGGAATCTTTCAATCATACACTTCTGTAATTTCTTTAACCATTAATACGTATTGTTTTATTGAGAAACGATGTAATAAACATGTCACGAGCACGGGACAAAGAAATAATCTGAGTTCCCGACAGGAATTGAACCTATGACCTCTGTACACGGGTCTTATGCTCTAACCACTGAGCTACGAAGGACTCGTGGCGAGCTGGGCCATATACAAGGTTCATGTATGACATGCGTCCTGCGTACTACTAGGATATCAAAAAAATGTCGAAATCGTCATGTGGGTGATGAATAAAGAATGATGATAAATTTTAAGCTCGGTAAAGAAATGAGGAATGATATAATCAACATGTCACGAGCACGGGACAAAAATAAAATCTGACTCCCCGACAGAAATTGAACGTGTAACCTTCCGTACACCGGTCGGATGCTCTAACCACTGAGCTACGAAGGACTCGTGGCGAGCTGGGCTATATACAAGGTTCACGTATGTATTGTTTTCTTGTTGAAAAGCCTGTCTATGTGCTTAAAAGAATCGTTTCAATTCTGTTTTAACTCAACAGAAAGTTTGCCTTATGACCAGTGCGCTCAAGATGTGTACCTAGAGTGCGGCAGAGAGTTCAGGGAAGTTTTACAGAGTTACCCTGATGGCTTCAGACCGAGTGAATTGTGTTTTGTCTTCGTTCATGAGGGAAACTGCAACACAAGGGAGGCCCAAAAGAGGAATTGCGGTGAATCCGCTGTATTGAACCGGTTCAAACTTAATTCATTTAAGGCAGCTGGAGTCGTTCTGCCCGCTTTGTGTTCTCTGCCTGACAAAGCAAAGCGAGGCAATTAGACATTATCTTTCATTATCAATTTACCACTGAAAAAGTGAATTACTATATCATCGATATCGAAACGATGCTGTAACCATATAATATGGGAGTGGTATTAAAGGAGAATGTCATAATTGTTTGAGCGAGTGCCGTTTTGTTTTATACAACGAGACGCTGGAAAGAAAGATCTGAATAAATCGAACAAACAAACGAACAAGTGATCCAGCAGAGCTCGAGCTTGCCACATAGCTTCCACCCCATGCAAATAACGGCTGCTCAGTATTCGACCTCAGTAGAGTACAAATATAACTCAAAGCGGGCACAAATATAAACGGCATTTCAACTCCAGAAGATCGGTTTTCCATAAACGTCTACCATGACAGATAACTCCGCATAGTTTTCCGACGAAAATAAAGAATAGGAGCTAAATCGGCCCATCCATCGATGACCTAGTGGCAGTCAGTCACGTCGAGAGAAACGGCGCAACAACATGCGTACAGTGCTTGAAAACTTTCGTCGGGCCGCTTATCCCGACCAGAATGACTGCCCCTAGGTCTCCGAGGGTGGGTCAAAGGAATATTCATGATTTTTTTACGGGCGTTAGTTAAAAAGAATTTATGAATGCAGTTTCGTTCATTCTGAAAAAAGTGATTTTCAATGACTCATTTGTCAACTCGTTTATTATTAACGAACATTCTTGCCTTTTATTTTTTCAGTTAGTAATTGCGCTCTCTCTCGCTAGGAGACACAGAACAAAATGCCCTGACGTTTACTTATGATCACGTGACACGTCACATGACCACAAATTGAAAAGGAAGGAAATTTACGAATTGGTGGCGAATTTACTTTGTTTGTATAAATAAATTGGCGTTTCTGATAGAGGATAAACATACCTAACTTTCTGCGTTTGGAATGAATGTACGCAAAGGTTAACATCAAAGTTTTAAATCATTCAAGATTAAAGGAACAGTATCCCGTTACTGAACATGTACCAAACTTTGCTTTTCTGACAGGATGTCACGAATTCAAAAGACGTGACGAGAGAAGCTGGAAAAATCCGTTTGCATCGTGCTTGGGCGAGTTCGATACTACCCTAAAACATCTCAGAATTACAGAGCAATGATATATTGTTCCCGTTAAGTTTCGATTTTGGCGAAATCGGGAGCTTTTGGCGTTGCTTTCATTGCATTTGGCCGAAGGACCGAGAGAAGGGAAGTGCTTTGATACCGATTGAAGGCTTATATCTCCCGCCAGCTTTTATACATGCTCAGATAATCTTGAAAAACGGAACGGCAACAATAAAGACTATGTACGAAAGAAACCATCGAGACATGGATGTGACTGAGGAGATTTTGTGCTGGAAGTTTCTTGAAACAAAATGGGTTGTAACGACGTGTTAGTAACCTTTTGATTAAACCTCCCTACGGTCGACAAAATCAAAAAATAGGCACTTAATGTTTAGGGAAACGAGTGCAATGAAACCATAATTATAATGCAATGTTTAATTAACCTTTGCGATGCTTCATCGCGTTGAGATTCCATTTTTGTTATCTTATTGAGGGTCATATACACGCGAGCAAATGTTACTAGATTTGGACTTGCCACAAACTTCCCTATACCATAAGAGGCCCATAGGGATGTGTCGCTGGATGGGGTCGCATTTTCACAACTTGATTAACCATAATGGTATTGCATTTTCTATACAGTTACTAGAATGGGGTCTCACATTTCCGGATTTTGGGGGTAAGAAAGTTCTTCACCTCTACGGTTAGCAAACGTACCAGCATGTTTGTACTGTAGGTGAAAAGAAGTGCGTCAAATCATTTTAGGATGACCTATTTAAAGGCTTGATAAGGTAGATACATAAACAGAAAGTGACTAAGTTGGGATCGCGAAAATTACATTTGCCCAAAAGTGAAGATGGGGTCTATAATTGGCCACAGAATAGACTATAATGGGGCAGTGGCATATACCCAGCAAAAATTAACCCAAGTACCCCCACGGGAAATTAACCTCTAACACGAGTTTTACAGCAAAAAGCTGTAAAACGAGCTTTCTATATTGCGAAACGTCCGAGCAAGCGACAAAATTGCGAGAAGTCTTCGTGCCGCGAGCCAAAAAGTAAGACGAAAGACTTCTTCAAAAGGATAAAATATTGTTTGGGTGTGTGAAAAACTAATCTCTGTCGGCGGTGCTGTCCGGAAGCAAATCTTGTCGCGTCAATATGACAGTTCTATAAGTGATGACGCTCGCGCATAATCGGGACAATGTCCCTTTAAATTTGGGCGTTTAAGGTGATTCCCTAGTAAAAGAACCTAACATAGACTGTAGATGAAACTTGGTACACTGATGTAACAAGTCAAGAAGATGATAAAAAGGTAAGAAAAAGTGGGGGTCACCGCGCTCGTTTTGACGTCACAATACTGACAAATACGGCTATTTTGGACCCTTTGACAAAAACCGCCCGCAGCCCAAAACTAGACAAAAAGGAAAGATTTTTTCAATGATGCATGTGGTATCGCACAGAATTTGACTTTGATGTATTGTTTATCCACTTACGTACCAGAAAAATGCCTTTTAATGCCCTTGTTTTTACTTTACGCTCCAAAGTAGAATTAAATTGGACACGCGCTATTCGACACGTGACAGCTCAATCCGTACAATTTAGTAAAATTGCCGAAAAACTGAACGTAGATTTGTGCCAATTTTTTTTCTCACTGAAAGGAAGCACTGTCCTTATTAAAATCATGAAATAAAAAATGGGGGTCACCGTACTCGTTTTTGCGGTAAAGCTGCAGAAAGTGCGCACCAAATGCATTTTCCTTAATTTTTGAGAGAGGACTGGGGTGAGTTTCAAAATAGAATGTATGCGAAAGGGGGAAGAAAGTATTAAAAAATCCGTTTTTACAGAATTTACATCGAGATATCACATTTAGGACACAATGTGATAAAGAAAGCGTTTAAATGAAAATCAAAGTGAATAAGCACAAATTAAACATCCACTCGCGAGGTTCTCCGTGAGGAAGTCGAACTCAGCAACACGCGTACTGCTTAAGTTATGCACATTCCCACCACATTGAGTCTCACCTCGACAAGAAACAACCGCAAGCAAAAACTGCAATAGCGTTTCTCTTCGGTCAACTTCATTTTAATAATGTTACTTCACATGCTCTTTTTTACGGAGGCCATCTTGTTATGCGCAGTAAGAGATGCGTAGTGCAAAACCAGGGAATCACCTTAAAATCAAATTTACCTTCACAATTTTTTTTTATTGAAGTGCAAGCGGGATGGTCATTCCAGTGTGTTAGAAATATTTGATATGAATGAGAAGAATGTTTTTGCTCGATTTCTTTTCTTAAACCCCTCCCCAAGTTGTTAATTATTTAAAATTTTTAGCAAAATGGTCACGTGACATATCACCCGACTTATTAACACAATATTTATACATTCAAATGATAAGGACGATGGTTTCTTGATGTGCAAAATTTTGATTCAGTTTCATTATCTGAGCAGAAATTAAAGCCAATAAATCATTTCCCACAGGTAAACCCACTATTTAATTACTTGCGCGCACTCTGTTTTGCCTCTCATTATTCTTTTTTTTGTTTACGCGCACTCTGTTTGCCTTTTATTGCTATCATTATTACTTGCGCACACTCTGATTTGCCGTTCATTGATCCTTTTATCACTTGTGAGCACTCTGTTTTGCCATTTATTGTTCTGTTAATTACGCACGCGCAGGAGGCAGCGTGGTCGAGTGGTTTGAGCGCTAAACTTGCAATTCGGAGGCACTGAGTTCAAGTCCTGCCCTAACCGCTAGGATGGATTTGTTCACGGTAGTCCCAAGTTCAAATTCTCGACCACGCTTGTAAATAGCCTTCTGGTTTGCCTCCGGCCAATTGGGATTCTTAACCAGTTATGTCTGATTTGAATTATTTGTTTCAGATATTTGCTCGGCCCCACTAGCATAAGTGCTATAAATACTGCCAAGGGTAAATAAAGGAAATTGTTATTGATATTCTGTTTTGTCTTTAATTGTCCTGCTTATTACCCGCGTGAACCCTGTATGATTTGCTTATCATCGTTACGTTCACTATGTACGCGCACTCCGTCTGCTTTTTAATGTTTCGTTTGTCTTTGAGCGCAATCTGTTTGCCTTTCATTGTTTCTTGTATTAAATGTGTATTTTGCCTTTATTGTCAGGTTTGTTACTTAAGCGCTCTGAGTTTTGTCTTTAACTGGTACGTTTATTTTTTGCGTGCTCTTTTATTTGCGGTTCATGGTTCCTTGTTCTCTTTTTGTTTCAGAGTTATACCTTTTTACTTGTACTCACTGTCTGCTCTGTTTTTAGTTATAATTATGACAAGATTCTCCGGTCTTGTTGAGTATTGGCAGCCTTAAGGTGGCTCAATGGGTTTTTTCGGGGTCGATACCTCCCAACTTTGAGCATCAACTAAATCGCCATTAACAAAGATTTGTTACGATCAGTGTTACAATGATATCGAAGTTGTCATAACAACGAAATGGCGCCACATACCTATTTTACTTGCAGCCGTATTTCCCGGCACTGAGAACTTTTTTCCAAAGTGCTCACTGGAGATTTTTCTCCAAGAGGCGTTCATTACCTCGTAGTATGAGAAAATCCGGTTTAAATGTAGTATTAGGATGCACGTAGCATACCAGTGGTCCAAAATACAGGCAAAAGAGATTTGCAACAAAACTTCTGAGAGTTCTCAACAATCTGGAATACGGTCGACCGAACGCACCTTAACTGTCCTTAAAAAGTAAAGTCCTTCTTACAGTATGTCACAAATGTTAGGTCAGGGTGTGTCAAGGCGTGTGACTCTTTTAGATTTCTCAAAGCTAAGAGGTGTTACAGTATCGGACGTGAAGTTCAGGGACAGTTTAACAGGGTTGCCACTCTTTTGAACTCTTCAAATTCCATGACCTTTTTAAGTTTTCTAAGGACCTTAGGTTTAGGGTCCCTGTGTTAGCGCATTTTTGGACCTTAAACAGTTCA